CCTCCATAACTTTCACCAGGCCCCAGTAAGGCGATCGCCATCGTCAGTTTGGTGGTCGACAGTTATTTGCGAAGTCTAACGTCGCAACCCAGCCTTCGGGTTTACAGATGCTCAACCATCGGAGACTGGTGGTGCCTCTGTTTTGCCGGCCTCATTCGTGTATACAATAAAATTGGGATGAATACATTTGTTTGAAGCTTCAGTTTAATGCAAATGGCGGAAGGGACCGTAAAGACAGAGAGGAAGAAAGAAAGATACCTCTTTTGGAGGAATGAGCCATATCCACGAACAATGTTTCTAAGAATAGAAACATTTGCCAAACAAATTAATAGACCTATTACTATGATTGTTATGCTATTTTAGACTTATTTTGCAAACAAAACGTGCTAATAAGATACTGAATTTTAAACACAAAATACATACATATATTATATATTTACTTATTTTCAAATATAATTTAGATACATAATCTGTATTTATAAGTATAAAATTTTATAACGCAAGATAAAAAAATCACGATATAAAACAAATTGCACATGAATCAGAATTCATAATGCGGTCCATGGTATAAGGATCGATTAGATACGGAATACGGAGTAATATATTTTAACCATTTATTTATTTATTTATTCCTTTTCACTTCGAAATCTCCAACTCTTGCAAAGAAGCGGAGCAGAACAGTTCGTCTCACTTCTACCTTCTTCTTCCTAAACCTCGCTTACCATCCATGTCTAACGTAATTTCTCGATTTAATCGCTGCAAATCAATCATTTCTACTGCGTTATTTTCAATCTCGTCGTTTTATCTAATCACAGATTCGTATTTTGCATACTTTCAATTTGCTCCGTCGCTGAGTTTACTTGATTGGATCATCAAATCGAATTGCGTTGAGTTATATGCGTTTTTTTGTGATTGTTTGGTTAGTAGTAGAGGAGAAATCGCATTGACGATCGTATTTCCGGCTTGTTCAAACATGTTTGCATGTGCGTAAGTATGTAGTTACGTATTAGGTTCATCAAATTGATTTGATGATTTTTTGTGTGGTTTCAGGCGGAGAAATCTATGGCTACTCGCTCAAACGGTACGTATATATCAACTGCTATGTGTGATTTGTGTATTTGAACAGCTATTTGCGTTTGTGCTTGAATGAAATGTTGGACTTTAATGATAATTGTTTGGTTTCATTGAGACTAGGGGATTAAGTATGTATTGTATTTGAAGGTTGAGGGAAAAGCTTGCAGTAGACTAGGAAATGTTTTATTTCAGTTTGGAATTTCTGTTAAAACTTCCTTAGGATGATAATTTCAGCAGTGTGATCTTAGTGCATGAGCTGTATCTATTTTTGAGATTGACACTTTTTGATCTTCTTGTGTTTTTTTGATTTTTTCTTTGTGGTAAAGTTCACCTGGGTAATTATTCTTCAGATGAGAAATCTGCAACAGCTGATAATAAGAAGTCTTCAGAATCTATTCCCACAGGGACACAATTGGGACCTGGAAATGCAAACCCTCTAGCTGGACCTGGAATGGAAAATCCTTTTGATTTCTCGGCATTGTCTGGCCTCCTAAATGTAAGCTTTCTTTTTATTTTTTGATTGATGAGAATTTGAAATATTCTTTTTGTTCCTTTTTATGATTGAAAATGTATATATCTACCTTTGTGTTTATAGTAGCTGAGGGATGAATGCGGATAAGGGGAGAATGAGAATTAAATAAATGAATTTGTGAAGCTCTTAAAATGAATTTGTTTGATTTTGGTCTATAGTATCATGTGAATTTGTAATAATCATCAATCCCACATAACTATTGCTATTTTGTTTCAGTGACTTCGAATTTCTTTTCTGCATTTTACTTTGTTGTTCAGTTCTTGACATGGTTAATGTAGGACCCGAGCATTAAAGGCCTAGCTGAACAGATAGCAAAAGATCCTTCATTCACTGAAATGGCAGAGAACCTTCAAAAGACCCTTCAGGGTGCGGCAGGTCTTGAAGATGAGATTCCCCACTTTGATCCCCAGCAATACTACGCAACAGTGCAACAAGTTATGGAAAATCCTGAGTTTATAACAATGGCAGAGCGGCTTGGAAGCACATTGATGCAGGTCATTATACTCATGCTGTCAAGGTCTTTATATATTGTTATCATTGGAGGAACTTGATTTGAGGAGTTTATATTCTGTTCCTGATGTCACCAGGATCCAGCCATGTCCAGCATGCTCGAAAGTTTTTCAAATCCCGCTCAGACTGACCAACTTGAAGAAAGAATGGCACACATCAAAGAAGATCCATCTTTGAAACCAATCCTGGAAGAGATAGAACGTGGGGGTCCGTCTGCAATGATGAGGTCATCTATTTTCATATTTATTAAGATTTGGCATGAATCTACTTTTTTTTTTTTTTTTTTTTTTTTTTTTTTTTTTTTTTAAATGTCATAGTAATGTTGATAACTGTGATCTGTAATTAACTGGTTTGTGTTTTCCAAACACCAATCAAAAGCAGCATGAAAGAAAGATAATCTTATGATGAATAGTTGTGTTTACTATATATAGTGTAAGTCTTGTGTGAGATGTGTAATACTTTTTAGTTAAAAATGTAATAATTTTTTATGCACTCATAAAAAGTATTACAGGTCTTATGGTAAGACGGTCTCACACAAGACTTATCCCTATAAGTATGTTTGCATTATCAGGTACTGGAATGATAAGGATGTTCTAAAGAAGTTGGGTGAAGCAATGGGTTTTGCTGCTTCCGGGGAAACAGCCGCTTCCAATGAAACTGTCCCAGATGAAACTGAAGAAGAGAGTGAAGATGAATCAATTGTTCATCAGTGTGCTAGTGTTGGGGATGTGGAGGTACCTTTTTAAGTCAACTCTGAATTTTCCATGAATAAACCTATAAAATATTAATTTGTTATTTTGTATATATAAAAACATAATGGGCCTGTTACTCACGGAAAACTGTTCTCTGTTTTCTGTTTAAAAAACTTGTTTACTAACACTTATTTTTTCAAATTTATTTTTTTAGCTTAACATTATAAGATTAACACAAGTTTAATTTTGAGTGATTTTTAGATCTTATATTTAAAATATTTTTACACATGTTTGGTTTAAGTGGATTTTTTTTATAAAAAATACTTTTAAGTCTAATATATGTAAAATTTTTACATTTGATATCCGAACCAATAACCTATTAAGTTTGCCTAAAATTTAGTTTAGATAATATTAATATTTTTTGAGCTAATATTTAAAATATTTTGGATATATTCATTTGAAATTTTAATATCCGATATTTGGACTGAACTTGTATTCACGATGTAACATAACTAAAAATATTTGAACCAATAATCTATAGAGTTCAATCAAAATCTAAAACATTGTATAGAGTTCAATTTTTAGTTTTGATAATGTGAGTAATGTCTAACTTTAAAGTGTAAGCAAATAAGTTATGTTTAAATAAATAAAGTAGAAAAGATATTCTCTAAAAAAAAGTAGAAAATTTTGATAAGTAAAGTAAATAGAAAATTTTAATAGAAAAATACTCTAAAAAAAAAAGTAGAAAAGATAGAAGATGGTGATAAGTAAAATAAGATGATATTGAATGTAATCATAGTAATGTGATATATAACCAAATAGATGATACATGATTCTGTTTTTCATTTAGAAAACAGTTTTTAAGAGTTAGAAAACTGGAAAATTGTTTTCAGTTTTCAAAATGAAAAATTGTGTTAGTAAACATGTTTTCTGTTTTCTATTATCTAATGGAAAACTGGATAAATTTTCCAGTTAGTAAACGGGCTCCTCATTTCCGTTTCTTTATTTTGTCTCCAAGTTCATCTTGCTATTCTTCTTGTTAGGCAAAACAATTTATTCCGTAAATACAAAGGTGTTCTCTTGCACATTTGATTTAATACTGAGAAGTGAGAATAAACATTCAAATGAGTAATATATTAGTAACACTTTATTTAACTAGCATTGCTACCAAAGAAAAAACTATATTCTTAGGTAATGTGTCATTTGTACCTGTATCGCTCTTTTCATAAATGTTTTACTTTGCTTCTGAGTGAAATTTTAGGGCTTGAAGAAAGCACTTGCTTCTGGAGCTGATAAAGATGAAGAAGATTCTGAGGGAAGGACGGCGCTGCATTTTGCATGTGGATATGGGGAGGTTAGTCAATTGTATTGTTTTGTGATTTCAGAATTCTTACTCATCCTCTTTTCAATGAATGCTAGAAGTTGTCACTCCTTACAAATCTATTCCATTTATAAATCAGATGTGGAAAACATCTACTTTGGGAAAGGGTAGATTTTGGTATACTGTAGGATAGGGAAATGGAAATGGAAAGGGAAATTCAAGGTGTGTTAATGTTGAATAGTATATACTCCGTAATTTTTTATTTCAAGTTTTTCGATTTTGTTAACTTCATTAGTTCAGAGTTTAAACCAATTGATCTTTGACACCCATTTCAGGATAAGTGTGCTCAGGTTCTTCTCGAGGCCGGGGCTAAGGTGGATGCTTTGGACAAGAATAAGAACACTGCTCTCCATTATGCTGCCGGATATGGAAGGAAGGGATGTGTTGCACTTCTGCTGGAGAACGGTGCTGCAGTGTGAGTCCCATTTCCGTTTTAACAAAAATGTCTAAAATTTTTACTCTTCATTCTGTTTCCGTGATTTTATATATCCTTTCTCCTGGCAGCACTCTTCAAAACATGGATGGCAAGACGCCTATAGAAGTTGCCAAATTGAATGACCAGAGTGAAGTCCTAAAGCTTCTCGAGAAGGATGCGTTTCTATAAACTGAAAGCACTCGTGGACGGTTAAGTTGTGAGAGTGCAATTCTATTGGCCTATGTAATTTTCACAGAAAAATGGGTTTTTGAAACTCAACTCAGATGCATTGTCACATTGTGATATTCTGGTTCTGTGAATCATTTTCTTGAAAAGTTCATAAGTTAATAGTATAAAGAACATTGAAAGATGGGATTATTATTATTATTATTATTCTTCTTCTTACAATAGAATAAATCTTGAAACAGCTAGTTTGGTAGGACTTATTTTGTTGCTTTAAAGACTAAACAGACAGTGGTTGGTAGTAAACAGGCGAGAAGAAACTTGTGAGGTTAAGCCCGAAAAACTCTTTCTAGAAAGCTGATAAAACGTTTCGAATAAAGCTTTGGCTCAATAACAGAAATGGACATAGGGTCAAACCGTAGAGATTTATACTTGTGCTCTAACTTCTTTCTCATGTTGTACGCCTGCAGTATGTCAATTATACCAAGGTAGAGGACAACATCATACACCTCGAAAAGTTCGACTTCAGATGGATCAGTCTCGTCCTGCTTAACCTTGCGGTTGGCTTGAGCTGGCATATTCACACCTAATTGAACCCTCAACCTGAACCACTCACTCCAAATCAGTTGGAATTAGGTAACTAACATACACTACGTTTTGAAGGATTATTAAAAAAGCAAAGAAAGAAAGAACTGAGGGGACAAATAAAACACTACCTTCCAGTGCCGGGCAAAAGAAGATCAACCTCCCTGTCACCAACAGAGTTGGCTCTCAAGGTCTTTCCTCGTATGTGGGGACCAGGTGCAGTGCTCACTATGCTAGGTTCATGGGTTACTAAAGTCAAACTCCTTGGAAGAATCGAGATTCCCCCTTGAAGAAGCAAAATTGAATTGTGTAAATTAGAACATCATAAAAGAGAAGATAGGTGATGCCAGAGAAAACTTGAACAGAATCAATCAGAATTATTATTGATTATACCTAAAATTGGAAAACAAATTATGATTGAGCAGAGTCAGGAATTCAGTGGATGGATTGAAGAAATGATTATAAGAAACTAATGGCTTTCAGCAGGAAGCATGCTTACCATCACTAGAAACAAGAGTGCTCTTGGGTTTAAACAGAGAATCAGGAGGCTCTAACAGTGCTGTCAGATGCTCCGGAGCTCTGAAGTGCAATCCCAATAGAAGGCTATAATCAATTATATGCTGTGATTCTAAGAACTGGCTGTCCAAAGATAATTGTCTGTGGAAAATCTGTAATTGTTATTGCTCATGAATATAAAGAGCCTATAAATATACATATAATCTAATTTTGCATACATGCATGTAAGATAAACCTTATGTAGTCATGTTAGTAACTTAGTACATTGGCATTGTTTCACATTTCTTCAGCCTCTTTGTAGTATGCTAGTTCACTTTTTCGTTGTTAGACATACCCAGAATGAAGTTGAAACCTCTGGAGAACTATCAGATATCATTTTCATGCAATCAAATAAGAAGACTCAAGAATTTTCCCATGATTCACTTATAATAGATGAAGCTACAACCTATTTGAATTAAGTTTCTTCTTGTTTTAGTCGGTGCCCATGTTCACTTCAGTTTGCATATGATTCAATTTTGATAGTACTAAAAAACATTACGGAGTATAATATATTGTTGGTTGGTTGTTTTTTTTTTTTTTTTTTTGTTTTTTTTTTGGTTTCTTTAGTTCTATACTTCTGTGTTGCAAGTAATTTACATAAGAGGTTCATAATCATAGTAATATAGATGGCTTCACTACTCAAGCCTGTTAGTTCAAAACGTAGTCCAGAAGGGAAAATAAAACTTACTTGATAAGTGTTTCATGTAATAACTTGTCCATACGGAGCTCATACATCAAATCAAGATCCTTCAATGTAGTACCTTCTTCAATTTTGTCTTTGTCTGTAAATCTTCCAAGAGAAGAACCTTTTAAATCATACCGATGATGCATGTGAAGTTCTGTATAGAACATATTTCCCATGACTACAAAGCGAACCTGATAAAAATAAGCAAATTATTCACCTTAATTGTGAGAACAGGTCATAGTAATAAACAAAAGTAGGACTTGAGGACAGCTACCAACCTTTTTTCTTCGTCTGAGTGATATTCTGTACACCCCAAAAAATTTTGTTATGAGAGTGTTTTCGTGGTCTTTTACATGTTTATAGTAAGAAGGCAGCATCTTTAATAGAACCTACAGTGTTAAGAAAAAAATTAGTTAACAACCTTTCAATTCAAAGTGAGCTGATCAAAATTGCAGTTCATTGATTCTTCTGAAGGGGAAGCCTTTTGAGAAGACAAGAATGCATTTAAAAATAGTTTCATCTCTGCAAACTTCAAAGTAAATGATTACATCCATCAACAAGATCAAGTTGAAAGGGAATGATATCAGTTTGGAGCATTGTCTCCATTTGGTACCATATATGCTACCTAGAAATGGCTAGGATCTATACCTGAAGAGAGTTCTTTTGTGTACATCAAGTAGACTCCATGAAATTCATGTGGCTCAGGAGGATGGGCATACTGCCGTCTATACATAGTTTTTATAGCATAAGAACTTAAGAAGTCATTGCTATTAATTCTAAGGGTCAAGTCAATGTTTGAAATCTTGAACATAACCTTGATGGCAAGCCAAGAAGCAGCAATATTTCAAGACTGAGTTGTGGGGGTTGGGGAGGGGGATAGTGGCATGTATAACGTATGAAAGGTTTGAGGTGTGATTTTGGTACATTCAGATGAGATCTGGATATTGGAAATGCAAAGTTTTGAGCTCCAATTCAGCAATCCCATTGCACAATAGAAAACCTTGTAGGTGAATTTTAGGTTATTGTTGAGATTAGAGATAAATAACTTGTTAGGTGTAACATGCAGAATCTACAAATCTTATAATATACTTCTCAGTATTCAAACCTTGAGCTCGGACTTCTTTAGTGTCTTGATCACAAATCTGTCATCACAAGAAAGATAAAAAATACTGCCGCTTTTTCCAGGAGACAAAAGCTCTCTCAAGCCATCATCACAACAGATGGACATCATGTAATCTGCTGCATTTAACTTGAATAACCTCCTCAAGTTCCTGGAGATTGTATTATAATCAGACAACATATCCAGCTTCCAAGTATATAATTTGCAAAAATAAAAAAATCAACAGGATTAATATATAAATTATCATAAAATAAACTCTCAAGTGCATCAAGTACCTAAAGACTATGGGACAATAGTCCTTCCAATAGAAGTCAATGGAACGATGAGGAGGTGTCAATCGAGAGCCTTTTCTGGGAAAGTACATCTTTATTCTAGCCTGTTCTCCAAAATCAGATTGCCTCACTTCCCGCATAGGAATAGGTGTGATCTTCCCCACAGAATACCTATAGGCTTCAAATTTCAAATTTAGAGACTGTTCTTTTTTTCCTTGGTCAATCAATCCTTTTAAAGAAACAATCAGGGAAAAAGAAAGACCATCAGTTACAAGGACTATTCAAATATTTACCTGATACCAAGTTGCAGATTAAGCATCAGGTAATAGCTTTTGCGGCCTTTAAAAAGGTCCATACATGACCCCTTTCTTACTTCTTTAGCAGGAAACTTTCGCCTCTGTGTACTTTGGTGGGAGAGTCCATCGACACTCTTAATCCTCTCTCTGATTAGGACCCCTTGCATATATTCTCTTTCATATGCCACTGTAATATTGCCCAGCTGCTCAGCCTTACCATCACAAGTGGTGTGAGATAACATGCAAGATGCATCTTCCGGTAAGACCTCTGTACTGGAGCAATGAAGAGCTGCATCTCCTGCTACCGATACAGCCCTGCGTGATATTCTACCAGAATCTCTTGCAAAGCGATCAACAATCTTCTCAGAAATACTACGCTTTACTTTAGGTTTAACAGCATCTTTTTTACTTATAGAGGAATCATGAGATAACATCCTTCTTATTTCCTTATGGCCATCAATCTTACACTTATCCAGAGCACATCCGACAGGATAAAGTGTTCCACGTCCATCTTTTAGGCCATTACTCCAAGTTCCGAAATAGTAACTTCCATCAGCAAATCTGTAACAACCTGATCCATGTCTTAACCCATCAACCCAAAATCCATCAAACAGATCTCCGTTGAACCATTTCATAACCCCTCTACCAGACATGTTCCCTTTTTTCCAAATTCCAGTATACATGTTTCCATTACTCCATGTATATCTACCGTGGCCATCACGTACTCCCTCTTTCCAACAACCATCATATACATCAGAATTTTGATACTCTTTTCGTCCAACACCATGCTGAATATTCATCTTCCAGTGACCTTTGTATACAGAACCATCAGAACTGCTAAAGGTTCCAAAGCCATGGAGGTAACCCTCAAAGCAATCACCATCATAAGTAGCTCCAGATGACCAAATAATCTGTCCTTTACCTGTCATCTTTCCTTCTTCCCAATCACCATCATATGTTGTTCCATCTGATGATGTATACTTACCTTTTCCATGTGGAAGCACTCCCTTAAACATACCTATGTAGACATCTCCATTTGGGAAGACCTTCTCACCAGTTCTGCAGATAAGTATCAGTCAATTTATGCAAAACAACTCATACAAACTTATCCTTCAATTAATTAAGAAGTTTACTGTTTTAGTACCTTTCACTATTTTCCATGATTTATATCACTCATCAAGTATCCAAAATTCCAAATGTTATTATTAAATCATTTCAGGCCCCATCCTGCACACCAATCAAGTCAGTTCTTATAACATAAAAACATAACTATTTTTTGGGTTCATAAAAGTACATAATCCTTTGTCGCACTTTGATGTTTGATCAGTCCAATACACAGTCATATATACATATTAGTATGTAAATTATAAATCCTATGCTGAAATCTACATTCAAAAGAAATTACTCAGGAATTCCAAGCACCAGAAGTATCAATTAGACCAATAATCTAAATGGAGACATATCGGTATGTTCAGCAATCATAAAATTATTACTGGATCTCAACAACATCGAGGTTAAAAAACACTTAGCTCTCAACAGCCAGATTCTACGCCCTATTTTAACACTAAAACCAATTTATCAGTGGATCGCAAACTAAGATCAGATTCTAAACACATCACGATTCCTTATTGCATATACTCTGCTCCTTTAATCTTCACATCAAATCATCAATTTCTCAACTCACCGTCTTTCAAATAGTTCTAACACTAGAACCGATTCATCTCAGCTCAGCATGCTAATCATCCTTCAATCAGTACAAAGTTCGACAAACGAGCATCTACGCACGCAAAACTTGTGATCTATCATACTACAGCACTGAGCGCAAACATATACAAATTTTTAGGAAGAAATTCAACTCATAACAAGTTACTGAGCACTGAATACTTCGCATTAAATAAGAATACCTGTAATCTGAACTCCGAGACTCCGAAACCGTAGGAAATCTCCGTTAGAGAGCTATGCAAAGCTCAAGTCTCCTTGAAAATCATTTTACATTCTCTCTTTCTAAAGCTAGTTTGTTGTCGCCGGAGCTGCCGAGACCTGTCTGGCTGTCTGAATTCTGAAATGAAATTTTCGGTTTATTTCTGCGCTTCGATCTTTTGAGTTCAGTTACGCGCTAACCCGAGCAAAGGGCTACCGGGCTTTTTATAGTGTGCTTGACAGACACGTGTCGAATATATGCATGGCAGCATGGGCGATATGCCGACATGCATCATGCATAAAATGGGCTCCATGTTCTTTTCGGGTTTTGGCCCGTTGAAGTTCATTTTGGATGGTTGGTAAATAGCTATTAGTAGGTTTGACTACGTAATTGAGTTACTAGGTTTGACTAGTTGATAGAGCTGATTGTAGAAAGATTTTGATAAATTAACTGTTAATTGATAGTAATTACATGTAAAATGATTCTTTTTTTTTTAAATGGATTGAAAAAGCTGCTTGAGCAGCTTTTTGAATTTTAACATTTTGAATAAGTAGTTACAAAAAACTAATTAATCAAATTCTTATATTGAATGTTTAACTAAGTCAAACAGTTAATAGTGGTCAAATAAGTTAAAATTAGCTGATAAGCTAACTATGTTACCAAACATGGCCCTATGTAAGAAGCCACATTAAAAAAAAAAAATTCTTTATCCAACAACTTAAGACGGTTGATAAGTCATAAATGGACTGTAATGTCAGACAGTATACTTAATAATTACAAGATTTTAAATTTCACTCTTAGTAAAAATTGTTTATTAATACTCCATATTTTTTTATTTGAGGCATTAGTTATGAACAATAATCTAAATTAGTTTATTTTCATGCACGTGATTTTTTGCTAGCTAGGTTTATAAGGTGATTTTTGTTGAACATACCTTCAAATAGCAGCTATGAACTTTCTCATAAATCAAAAGTCAAAAGATCAACTCTTGTTAAGTTTTACGAGAGCAAAAAATAAAATAAAATAAGAAGAAACAATTTGTCATCAAATTTAGTTCTTTTTATATTTTATTAATATGTAAATTCTTTTATGTAGTCAATGAATAAAAAAGATTGAGTGAACATTACTTTAATTAGAAAGTCACTAAAATCAGAAGACAAAAATATCATTATTCTTTTTTAAAAACTTAATTTATTTTGATAAAAGTACTGAGATTTATCGAACTCATGATCATCGCATCCATTATATATTCAAGAGTGTGCAATAGGTAAACTTATAATCAGTAAGAAATGAGTTCATGACTATTTAAGTACTAAAATCATGCTCCACTCACTCCACAATCCAATTTGAGACGACTAAATTGCATTTGATAATTTATATCATGGACCCTTGTCCAATACACATAATTTGACTTCATAATGTACAGAATTTATGTTAATAATACACATACATAAACACAAATTATGTGCATTATGAACATAAATTCTATACGTTATGAATATGAATTCTGTGTATTATATTGTTAAGTGTTTATGTGTCTTCATTATATCATGCTTATATGTATATGTGTATTATGAACATAAATTATGTGCATTATGAACATTAATTATGTACATTATGAAGTCAAATTATGTGTATTAGATCAGGGTCCACGATATAACGATTGATTATATATATATATATACACACTATTTATAGGTCTTGTTTGGTAAAATAATTAGCCTATCAGCTAATTTTGACTTGTTTGACCACTATTAACTGTTTGATTTGGTTAAACAACTAATATGAGTGTTTGATTAATTAGCTTTTTGTAACAACTTATTGCTCCAAAACACCAAAATTCAAAAAGTTGCTCAAAAGAGTTTTTTCGATCAATTTTTTGAGAAAGTTATTTTGCATGTAATCAGCTATCAGCTAATTTACCAAACATCTTTTTACAATTAACTAATAATATCAACTAGTTAAACTCATTAACACAATCAACTAACAGCTATTTACCAAACACTTCATATATGTTCAACAAATTTAAACCACGCCAAGCCAATAAAGGCCTCAAGCTCTTTAGGAGTTGGTTCAACAATATTTGATTTAGATGTTATTATCCAACTAAACTTAGGTAAAACAGTTGAAGTATAGAATCAATTATATACCTTAAATGTTACAAAGGATTTGCAGTGTCGGTGGGGATAGATCAAAGTTGGGCGTTGAGCTGCTTGCTACAATGCTAAGAAAAGCATCGGTCGGTTTATTTATTTCTCATCTTTCTGAAAAGCTAAGAAATCATATATTAAAACGAAAAGGATGTGAATGGAGATAAAAGGCTGTTACATTGTATGAACAGCTCTGATGACTCAAAGTTGGAATCTTGAATGGTAGTGGTGTTCAAGTTATATAAGAGAATCATCATGTAATAAATTAAAGAGTTTCATATGATAAATTGATAAGTGACAGGTTCAAACGCGAGGGTATTGATAAAAATTAAATTCATGATATTTCGGTACAACAAGTGCTCTACTATTACTCGATCACTTCTTTCAAGTCGAATAAATTCACAATCACTACTTGTGGACTGGTGTGCACTGGATAGACCACGTGACTAAGGATCTCAAGGAAGCAAACTATTCTAAGTTGTTGATCGGCTCAAACCAAGAAAGACAATAAATCGCTCCCATGCATTGTGAATCAAGCCAATAATCTAACCAACCTAGCTGAGTTTACCCTACTATTTTATCTTGTTGATTTTACTTCTTAATATTCTTGTCTTGACTTAGTAATAAAACTATTTTTATTCATTGATACTAAAAATTGGCTAATTGTCACTCTACGTTAATCAAATACGAAAATGATCAATCATATATATTTACTCTTGTTATTTTAAATAAATGTAAGATGTAAATATATATACAATTAGTTATAGTTGTACGCCTCGAAGGAATCTGATTAAGATTTTATTTCGAGATTTTGGTATCGATTTCAATAATTTAAAGAAAAAAAAATCGCTATAGAAAATTTCAATTAGTTAACTTTTCTTTACTGTCTTTTGTTTTGTTGTTTTTTTTTTTTTTATTATTATTATTTTCAAAAGAAGGATATATGTTATTAAACTGTTATATACTCCGTAATGGAATATAAAGAAGTGTGAATGAGACTTTTTGTACGTTTGAATATAAAATGTGCATGCATGTATGACAGCATGGGAATAGATGCCATTCATATAAAATATCATATTTGAGGTTTTATTATATTGTTGATATTGAATATTAGATGAATAAAATAATTCAAATTTACTTTCGAAAGTTATTATTATTATTATTATTACTATTATTATTATTATTATTATTATTATTATTATGGTGATTTTAGTCTCTATATTTTGACAATATATATAATCATTTCAGTCTCTTTTTTTGGACGTGATTATTTCATTTTTATTTCATGAGATAACGATTATGATTTCTAATATGGGACTATTAACTTTGTGAAATGGTAACACGTACTATTATCGTCAAAAATCAACCTACACAACTTGAAGGACATTCAACAAAATAAGTGATAGGATTAACAATAATTATCATCAATGCTAGGGGGCAAATAACCCGACTCAAAAAAAAAAAAAAACAATAATAGCAAAAAATAATAACACCTAAAATAGATGAATAATAATGACGGTGTCATTATTAAAACATAAGAAGCAAATTCGTTATTTGTCGGTCTTGTGATACATAGGTGTTTGGTAAACTAGTTACTTTAGTTAGTATATCAGTCAATTTTGACTTATTTGATCACAATTAATTGTTTGGTTTAGTTAAAAAATTAATATAAGTGTTTGATTAATTAGTTTTTTGTAATTTTAAATTATAAAAATTCAAAAAGCTGCTCAAAATAACTTTTTCAATTAGTTTTTTAAGAAAAGAAATTATACCAAACAACTATCAGTTAACAACTAATTTACCAAGCACATTTTTACAATCAGCTAATGTTATCAACTAGTTATACTCTCTAATTAATTCAATCAGCTAACTGTTAACAGCTATTAGCTAACAGCCATTTACCAAACAGGGTCATAAACACTTAAAAAATTATAATACTCTAACATAAGAACTCTCTTTTGATTTAAGGGGAAAAAAAATCATTGTTATTATTCAAATGTGCACTCTGGATACAACTCATCTTGTAATTCTAATTGACAAAGGATCACAAAGAGAGCCTAAATTGTTTGGCAAATTATGCTGTGGACCCGACTCCACCTTGCAAGGTGGACCTAGGTCCAAAACGACGCAACTTTGTGTGTTTGGAATAACGGTGCTGTCAGTGGCACCGTTTCCTCAACCAATGATTTTTTTTAATTTTTTTTTTTTTTAATATAGAGTTCTAAAATTGTGAATATAGATTCAAAAACTTGTGTTATACTGTTAAATATAGAGTTATGTAATTGTGAATATAGAGTTCAAAAATTGTGAATATAGAGTTCAAAAATTGTGAATATAAAGTTCTGCAATTGTGAATATTGAGTTCTGTAATTTGTGTATTGAGATATAAAATTGTGAATATAGAGTTCTGCAATTATGAATATAGAATTCAAAAATTGTGAATATAAAGTTCTGCAATTGTGAATATTGAGTTCTGTAATTTATGTATTGAGTTCATAAATTGTGAATATAGAGTTCATAAATTGTGAATATAGAATTCAAAAATTGTAAATACAGAGGAACGAATTCTGAAGAAAAATAGCAAATTAACAGCAAGGAAAGAAGTCATTTAAAAAAAAAAAATTAAACGATATCTTTTTGAAGGAAAATAATGCCGTTTTGAACCCGGATCCACCTTGCAATGTGGACCGGGTCCATGGCATAACAACTGAAATTGCTTGTATTGACGGGCTAAATTATTATTAGCGTTAAGATCACATTCCCATCAATTCGTCGGGTAATATTAGCCTTTAATTATTGTTTTTCATTATGAAGCTTTATGGCATGTTTGGTTCATGGAATAGGTCAGGAATAATAACATTCCTTGGAATAGACCTATTCCAACGTTTGGTTGAATCATTTTGTCATGGGAATAACATGCCTAGGAATGAGCTATTACCTTCGCAAGGGGAATAACCATTCCTAGGGTATTAGCTATTCCCATGCCCTTGGGAATAGCTTTTATATCACAAATACCAAAAATATCATTTCAC